CCCAGCACTGCCGCCGAGCCCAGCGGGTGGCCACTCGGCCACAGCACGGGCCGCAACACGGATGGAGCTTGACGACATCATGCCAGCTGACGGGCGCCAGACACGAACGGCCACACGCTGGCAATTCCATCGGTAGGCAATGTCAGGGGCGGGGAGTCCATACAGACACAAAGCAGAGTGGCGGTTGACAGGGACAAGGACATGGAGAGTGACCGCGAATGGATATGGGGTTTGCTATGGCCTGAACATCTGTGTACCCCAAATGCATAGGCTGACATTCGATCCCCACGTGATGGCATTGGGAGGCCCTTTGGGAGAGGATTTGGTTTGAGGACGAAGCTCTCCTGGTGAGGTCAGTGCCCTTATACATGAGAGCCCAGAGTGCACCCTCATCCTGCACCCCGTAGAAGGTACCATCGGTGAACCGGGAAGCTGGCCTGCCCTGGACACAGAATCTGAGGCACCCTGACCCAGGACTTCCCAAGCCCCAGAACCGTGAGGAAAGAATTTCTATTGTGTATAAGTCCCCCAGACTGTGGTATTCTGTTACAGCAACTAGGATAAACTAGGACAGGTCGTTTCTCTTCTGACAAATGTTCCCAAGGCAACGGTGGTACCGGAGGCAAACCTTGCAAAGTTACTAAACCCACGGCAGTGCACACTTTGAAAGCGTAAATGCTACAGTTCGTGACTATCTCTAGAAAAAAGATGTTGCTAAGTTAACAGACCAGCCACCAACCCAAACTAGAACACTCAGTCAGGCTCCCGAGCTGTGCGTCATCCCCTGTTCCCACAGCACAGGCTTTCTAATCAGTGTGCATTTACACACCTAGGAATTCCTGAACTTTCTTTTTTTTTTGGAGAGATTTTTCACTATAGGGCGCGTGCACTCGCCAGACAGACAGAGAGACAGAGAGACAGAAAGCGAGAAATCACCCCCCCAGAGGGGATGGCCACGCCGCAATCCCTTCTCCTCCATTCTCCTCTCGGGATCTTGGGCACACACACACACATGCCCGGCATGAGTTTTAAGCCACCGGGTCCGGGACGCGAACCGCGGTCGACTACGTGGGAGTCCAGCAACATAGTCATCACGCTAACTGCTGGTTCCCGAATTCCTGAACATTTTGAGAATTAGCTGACCTAGGGGAAAAAAGAAGGCAAGACAATACAGAGGAAAGCATGAAGCTTTGGTTCCACACAGACGGAGGGTTCGAACCTCAGCTCTACTGCTCACCAGTCTGGAGGCTTTCAAACCACTTTACCTCCGTCCCCACAACCTTGAAATGAGGGTAGGAACGTCTCTTTTTTTCTTTACGTTTTTGCTATAGGGTCCATGCACTCGCCAGAGAGACTGAGAGAAGGAAAGTGAGACATCACCTCCCATGGAGGATGGCCATGTTGCAATCCCTTCTCCTCTAGTTTCCCCTCAGGATTTCAGTCACACATACACACATACCCAGCAAGATTTTCTGTCGGGTCTAGGACTCGAACCACAATTGGCCATGTAGGAGCCCAGGGTCTTCATCACTACCTACCTGCTGGGCTCAGGAAAGCTTTGCTGAAAGCTCCGTAGTGAGGGTGCACTGAGGTGAGGACAAGGCCAGCCTAGCATAGCCCTGACAGGATCTCCTCGGTGGGCTTGTGACCATCACTGCTGTGCTCCGGAACTTTGGAACTGTCATCAAACAGCTGCCCCAGAACACGTTTCCTTTAGGACTTTAAAACAATTTCCTTGCATCAAGAATCGTTAAACTGTAGGTGGTGGCAGCCAGTGGCGTGATGGTAAGGTGACTGGATCCCACGTGGCTGACTCTGTGGTTTGAGCTCTGGACCTTGTGGCTTGAAAAACATGTGGGGTGCATGTGCATGTGTGCCCAAAATCCTGAAAGGAAGAATGTGGAAGGGACTGTGGCATGGCCGTCCCCCATGGGGTATGCTTTCTCACTTTCCCTCTCTGTGTCTCTGGTGAGTGTACATGAGTGCTAGCAAGCTTTTAAAAATTAAAATTAGAGGAGACTAGATATTTTTTCAGAAGTTTAAAACAAGTAACTATTTGCTGCCTAGGGACAAGAATATGACCCAGGTACATCCCGAGTTAGACTGCAGGCTGATGTATTAAGTGAAAGAAAGAAAGATTCTAAAGAGTTATGCAGTTCGGGAATCTGACATAATGCACAAACTTTGAACATTGTATTCATTCAAAAAGTGAAAAATACATAGATAAAAGTAGCTAGCGAAAGCATTAATTGAAGTATCTGAGCAAATAGCAGTGTCGGGGAGATTTGCTTATAGCTCTGTAAACCTGACACTATTAATAGGGATAAAACATTCCAGTTTTCCAGGGGACCAGCAGTTAGTGTAATGGCTATGTCGCTGGATTCCCACGTAGTCGACCGTAGTTCGCGTCCCAGACCCGGTGGCTTAAAACTCACGCCAGGCGCGTGTGCGTGCGTGCCTAAGATCCTGAGAGGAGAATGGAGAAGGGATTGCGGCATGGCCATCCCTCCTGGAGGGTGATTTCTCGCTTCCTGTCTCTCTGTCTCTGTCTGTCTGGCGAGCGCATGCGCCCTGTAGCAAAAACCTCTCAAAAAAATTTTAAAAATTTCCAGTTCTCAACAAATACAATAAAATTGTTTCAAAGCACCTCTTGGTACTGACTTAAACTTCAAGACATTCGGCCAATGGTGCCACTGAACTTCTCAAAAGAAAAAACACCCAATACCAAGCACAAAGTCCCCAGTGGAGGACAGACGTGCCCAATGGATGCCCACCAGGACTCCTGAGACTCTTCTGTGGGGATTGGAACAACAGGCTTCAGTGCTGGCTTGTCCCCTGCCGGGCACCCCAGCCATTTCAGGGACCAACTGGTAGACCAGGGCAAGGAGGGGACACAGCCCAATGTGTGGAGACAAGCTGACACTGTGGTTTGAGAGATACTCCTTGAGAGAAACCTTAGGCTGGAGGGCCCTTTCCCGGTCTCGCAGACAGAGGGAAACAGCGAGTGACTATTTCTCAGACCACATTTAAGCCCTGACAGGAGAAAGCGTTAACACAGGGGCTAACGACCCTGGCCTTGGAATCAAACTGTCATGGGCTGAATCCTGGTTCTACCTTGAGTAGGCGTGGGATCTCAGAGTGCTGGTTCTTCTCTTGTAAAATAGGGTTATGTCTATCTCCAGGAATTACAAGGACAAAAATGTGGACTATATGTAAAGCGTGTCTCGTGGGTACTTTAACTGGCCTCGTTGTGAGCACCAACTCTCCTTCTCCCTGGGGGCTGAGCCAAGAAGGATCAGAGGCCGCAGCCTGGCTGGGAACACCTGTCACACCTGGCCCCACGCGGTGGCACTCAGTGCTCAGCAAATGCCGGTGCTCAATGACAGAACTTCTGATTTCCTCCCTGGTTACTGAAAGGCGATTCCATGCCCTGTCACAGACAGGACAGCCGTCTGTGGGACCTGCCCTTCCCCAGCCATTTGGCACCAGCTTGCTCCGAGCGTCTCGCTCTCCTCGAACCCACCTGCTGTACTTTAAGAGGAGGCCATGGCTCCTTTGGTATTTCCCGTGGCGCACGGGCTTTGCTGGCTCTATCAGGTGTCCCACACATGGAGGGCCACACATACGCAAAAGTGACAGTCGAGCCTGCTGGCACCACAGTCCCCTTCACAAAGCTTCCTTAAAGATGAGTCGAGGCACGCAGCCTGAGACACCGCACCTCCTCCTGCAGGTCCTGGCTGTGAGGGGCTGGAAGGCCAGTGGGGACAGGGAGCACTAGGGAAGGCGGGGCAGTGGTCGTCACAGGTGGGTGACTCAGTGCTACATTTCCAGCTACATGGCCTCTGCCCGCTGTGGCAAACGCTCTAGTACAGAGGTGAGGGCTTATACAGTCGCCCACAGGACCCCAGGCACAGCCACGGGCCCGCGCTGTTGGAGCTCAAGCGCACTCCGACGGGCTAGGAGGCTGCGCTCGGGGAGGGTAGAGGGCTCCGCCATCACACGGCAAGCCTAGAGACCCGCGCCTGGGACTCCTGACAGCCTGGGGGCCCCTGTGCTCCCTGCATTGCTACGACAGCCCCACCCAGGCACTGTGAGGCAGAAATGGCCATTCCAGGGTGGTAACAGATGGGTCAGACTCCAGGGCGCTTCGCCTTGGCCTCCCTTCTTGAACCAGGAGGACCCAGGAAAAATCTTGGCACTCTGTTCTCCTGTGCCTCCCTCCCGTGACGGGACCCACGTAGCTGTGACTGTCCTCCTGGCTCCATTAAGTGGCACTGTTGGCACAGTGGCACCAAGGGAAGCTTCAAAACCAGCTTCCCAGGTCCCCCAGCAGCACACACTGAGGGCCAAAAAGCTTGCTTCCTGTTGCCTGGGTAACCTGAGAGTCCTTGGAGAAAGCCTAGGAGCACACTCTGCATTTTCCCCTCTGACCCTTCTCCCCGTGCGGCTGTGAGCTTGGGGGGAAGCTCATTCTACCCTCTTGTCGCGCTAGGGTGC